CAAGTCTGCTTCCAGTACCAATAATAGCGAGTCGACGACAAGAAGTGAGTTTTTTATCGGCCATCCAGCATTGGAAGCGATGATTCATCCGAGTGCAGGAGAACTGTCAACGTTCTTCCACGTATTATTTAACCGGACAGTGAACTGACCGATTATGAAAAATTCTCGCAACTCTTTCGAATATAATATATTTCGCGACTTATCAATATTTCTAATGATTGAAAGTGGCCCTTTGTCAAACGATAACACGAGCAAAGGTGCTTTCAATCCAAATAAAACATAATATACAGTTATAGTAGGGGAGGCAAAGAGGATGAATAGGGATTTACTCAAGCGTCGCGGGGACCTATTAGATTGTGAAGATCAGATGCTAAATAGAAAAAAAGGCTATTAGTCCAATAAAATGGTATTTGCACGTGGGAGAAATTCAAGTACTTAGTTGGCTTCTCTGCTGAATCTGAAGTTTGCAAACAAAATTTCCTGGAACGTTCCCAGATATTCCCAAAAAGCAGCGAAATTTTAGCTCTTTTTTCAGTTTTTGTCCGTTACTGGGAAACTATGAATTTAAGCAAAAAGACCACCTCAGAAAAAGTTGTAGTAGATGAAATTTCCTATATATAATTGTTCTTGCTCATTGCTGATGAGCTAGAGCAAGTTAAAAATATACCAAATTGCGTATTTTGCAAAAAAATAGTGTTCTTTTTCGGTTCTCGTAGATAATTCATAATCTACGCATTTGTAGAAGAAAAAGAATACACTGCCTGGTGTGGAGGAGTCCTGGCCATGTGAGATTGCTATCGTCAGCGTGTAACTCGATTTATAATTTGTCACAGTTCTTTAGGTATATTAACATCAACTAGGGAGAATGTTTTTCACACTTGCCGCTTGTTATTTGCGACGTTTCCACTTATATTGAAAAGTAGCAACAACTTTGATTTTTTATATCTTTGTTATCATTTCTGCTAGACCCCAAGATCGATGGAATCAGCTCTTCAGGGAGAACCTGAAAATGGAATAATATTCAGGGCGTCCCATTTGAAAAATCAAAGTTGTTGCTACTTTTCAATATAAGCGGCAACGTCGCAACACTTATTTAATTATATTTTAGTTGCGTTCTCCAGAAACGTCTAATATGCCATCCACCGTGAATCAGCCTGTATATTTTTATTATTATAGTAGTATATTATTTTTTCCACTACTAACACTGAAATTTGAACATATTTTATCAATCCAGATTATCATTTCCATAGCCATTCACTCAGCATTGTTCATCATATTATTACCTAAATGGTGATATTAAAAATAAACCCTGTATTGAAATTCCAGATGAAATTTGTGAATAAATGCAATGATTGAGAATTTAAGTGAATTTGATTCTATATCCTCGCGTCTCCATGAAGTTAGGAAATGATATCCTGATAAATATCGCAAGTAGATATCGAAGAAACAGTATTCATTAAAATGTTGTGAAATATTTAATCCTTATATATGAATATCGCCAGTGGCGTAATTAAGGGGGGGGTCCATGGGGTCTGGACCCCCCCCCCCCAGAGTTGTCTGAAAAACCAAAAAAATCCGGTGAACAATGGAAAAATAGACATGAGTATAGGAAATATCACGAGAATTTCATTTGGAATTTATTAGAACCTTCCGAACGAAAATCGTAGGTTAGTTAGGTACCTATTGTCATTGGAAATGTACGATTGTAGTTGTGAAGAGATGATAAAAATGAGAAAAAACCATCAATTTTTTGTGGCCATTCCTCATGACTGCAACATGTGTAGAATTTTTTTATTGAAACATCCATACACAGCCTACACAGGACTATTCAAAATTCGATGTAAATATTTTAAGGACATATTGCTGGGGTCAAAATATGACTTTCTCCATATAAACATGTGTCGAGAAATGCACCTATTCCTAGCTTCAGCCACTGTAAGATGAAAAAAAAAGATTATCTAAAATAACGGATTACGTCTCCTGAAAATTGGCATGCCTTTGTCTTTTTGGACACTCATCTATTTTCTTTCGCTTTAAAAATGATGTAAACCGAGTTTTGAGGAAGTGGAGGGGGTCCACCCTTTTGATGGCCCAAATTTTATGTCACAAAAGAGGAACTATCTGACTTTGAATTGCATGATCTTGTGGGGCATGAAAAAATTCAAGAATCCGGTAGGTATCTTGCAATTTGCATTGGTTTCGAACGCTTGTATACGAAGGTGATCGTATGTCGGAACGCATTTGAGACTGCTATTTCAGAGCGTGAGGTACTACAATAATTGCACTTGATTCGTTATTATGATCACAATTTCAGATAATCTTGTTTTTTACCCAACTTACAATGACTATAGCTCGAAGGAGGAGCATTTCAGGCCACACCATTGTATGAACAACAATAGGTACTCAAGATATTTACATCGAATTTTGAATCACCTCTTGTCACCATCTCCCCAAAAGTAGTCTCTTCATTTCAATAAAAAAAAAGAAACAGTTCATCCTATTCTTCAGTAACTAAATTCTTCGATTTTTTTTTGTTATTTTGTTTTTTTTGTTCCTATTTCAATGTTTGTACCTATTAATTGATATGTGATAATATTTGATCATTTTTCGATATTTTTTCTTTATTTTGGTATTGGTTCCAAATGATGCACACATTTATTGGAACCTACGTAAGTTACGTTTTGCTTTTCTTTTTCTTAAATATTGGGTATTGGACCTAGACCCCCCAGGAATGAATCTTAATTACGCCACTGAATATCGCAGATGACACAATCGAACAATCATCGGATCTACATAATAAATCATATCGTATTGACCGCCATTGCAGAAATCGTTGCGATTGTTCAAAAAAATGGGTATATACCGAAAGTCATGGTTATTTGAATTGTTTTAATTCACACATGACAGTGACAGCTTACATATGTATTGTGACATTTTTAGGATTGATAATAATCATATTATTCCAAACATTTTTCATAACTTAAAAAATTGCTTTCAGCTGTGATGAATTTTGTAGTTTCAACTAAATTTGGTCATCGAACAACAATTGACAGTTTCATCTACCTAGGTAAAATTTCTTTAACAATTTATTATTATTATTTACCTAGGTTCAGCAGGTTTTACTTCTCATTAGAGCAAATCATCGAATGTTTTCTCAGGTTATTGGTGGAATATAGTAATTTTCCTAACAAGTGCGGAAAGTGATTCTTTCCCGCACGTGACTGCCGTTGACACGAACGACGCGAAGCGGAGTTCGGGCAAGCAGTCGAGTGCGGGAAAGAAACTTTCCGCATGAGTTAGGAACAATATTTTTTCTACAAGCGTATAGGAAATTGATTGAATCGTTCAATTAATTATTCAAGCAAATAGGAACAACTAACAAGATATATATATTCTCTATTTATTAATTATTAGTAATAGCTATTGTGAACTTACAGTTTGACGCATTATGTTGGTTCATTGCGGAAGCCAGCAGGCCCATTAGGAGTTTGGTCTCTAGGTTCCAGACACTTCTATGAAATGAGCCAAAAATACCTATTCTTCATTCGGTTTTTTCATTTCTTTATTGTTGCACCATTCAATAAAACGCGTGTATAGCTTCTCATACCTTTCTTAAGACTTCGTTGGTGATAACGCATCTGTATCGAATCCCTATAGCTAGAAGTTTTTGATCACATTGTGGCATTTCCACTGAATCGAAAATGACAGTAACTTCTGTCACTTCGACAATTTCAAACTTATTTTAGGTTTGATTGGCATGACAAATTGACGTTTCCCGTCAGATCAATCCAAATCTATAGGGGGATTTTTATAATAATCAATTTTTATTTCTCAATATTTCTTAGTTTTTACAATAAATAGTGCAAGTTGATGGATGATTCTGAACATACATACTTAATACTGCAACAAACAAACTTAAACTTTTATATTCCATCACCAACCACTTATATTACTAGCGATTTTATCATATCTTTGTTTTCCCGCACTGTTGCGGGAAAATGACACTTCCCAAACTAAATTGCGTGCGGGTATAGGGTGAATCACGCACGCTTGTAGAAAAAATGTTTTTCGAGCGCGACATATATTGAGAAGGGATGATAGTGAACCCTCAAGTAGTTCCTATTCAAATGTCTGACGATTTGGACGCGACCAAGTCATGACTAGTTTTTGAACATAAAAAAAATCGTGAACTTGAAATACTCGAGCGTTCAGATTATTAAACATACGCTTTATCTTAATGTTCTTGTTGTATTGACCCATAATCTGACAATTATTATGTAGAGTTTGTAGAGGAATGTCCTTAATCTTACGGTTGGATTTTTTTTTAAATTGAATGTAATAACTAAAATATAAAATATACAGGGTGGGTTAGTTTTTTGTAGCAGGACTTCAACAGCTCAAAGAATTTACAATTTCAAGATGAAAAGCTCACATTCAGGGTGGACCAATAGTGTGGCAAATGAGATAACGGCTTCGCTGTTTGAGGAAGACAAACAATAATTTTTGTGATAGCCTAGGCTCATGAACTGCACATTTCTGAAATATTCTGCGTCATACAGGGTGACACTCTTTCTTACAGGACACTCTGTATTTTATTGCTATTTCAGATTCTCCCTTATGAGCTGATTTCATCGATCGATCACATTTTGGGTTTGAGGAAAATGATTCCAGAGATATAGGGTGTGAAAGATTGAGATTTTTTTTAACTTTCGGAATTTTTTGTTTGAAAAGTACTCATTATTCACTATAGTAAATTGTCCAACGAATTTCAGAGCAGTACCTTTCAAGGATTCCGACATATTGAAGAAAATCTGGGAATAAAATTGTTCCTCATCGCCCTCTCACGGCTCAACGGTGCATTTTCGTATACGAGTTGATTTCAATTTGCCTAATTTGGTCTCTAGTTCACCCTTTGAAATTTGCAAATAGTGATCAAAAAATCTTGAAGGTATCCTATTTCGACGGTGACGTAGAAACAATACAATATAAAGCCGACTTACTGCTGACTGGTAAGCTCCCCAACCTGGGTATCCGAAGATGAGCTCAGTTTCCGCCTGTTCCTGCTCCAAGCCTGCCACTGCTTCCTCAGCCTCCTTTCCGAGTTTTTCGAACTCAGATGCTTCTTGAGGAACTTCTGCCAGTGCGATTGCGCATCGCCTTCCTCACATTCCGAACAACTACTATTCGAACCGACACTGCTCTTCCTGCTATTCAATGTACTATCACACCACGAGCTTTTCCTGCTTTCTGGCGTCGAAGGCGTTGTGATGCTCGATTTTCGCGACTCGAAGCCCGACGAAGACGATTTCCTCTCGACCAGGCTCGACTTCCTGCTGTCTGTGGGAGAAGAGATAGCGATCTCCAACGAAGAGTGTCCATTGTCGAAGCTTGTTTGGTTGTTCTGCTGCTTGAGCCAGCGGATCACGTGTTCGTTGCGGTCCTCTTCCATGCAATCCAGCGGGAAGTCGTTGAGGTTCTCGTAGATTTTATCCTCAGTGGGCACGTATCCCATCTTCCGTCTCCTCGGCTTGCTTTCGAGATCGAGCATCGTGGACTTGGGCTCGAACTCGGATCTACTGCTCTTTCTCGAATTGGGTCCAGGTTCTTCGTCGGGGATCTTTTCGATGGCACTGACAATTTCGTCGTCGAGAGCATCCTTACTGTATTTGCAATACTTCTTGAGCAGCCTCAAGACCAGCTCGTCGCTGTCCTTGGATAACCTATCAGTCTTTTTATCAGTCTGCGATTTTAATAAATTATTAATAAATAAATTATCCCTATCTATGGATCTTAGCTCGGGCATGGACGGCCTTCGCGGTTGTTCTACTATTTTGTCTTCCGGAATTTGACCTAAGCTCACTTTGCGTTCGGTAATGCCGTTGTCAGTCAGTTTTATCACATTTTCACTATCTAAGTTTAAGTTCTTGGCGTCCACGTTCTGGAGCATGAGTTCCTTATGCTGATCGGTAAGTTCTGTGAATCCATTCTCTTGAAGTATAAGGTCTTTGTTGGCTACTCTGCGAAGGAACTCGGATATGGCTGCCCAATGGGCTTGAGTCAGCACGCCATGGAGTCGGATGGAAGATAGCTGAAGGGGAGTCCATTTGTTGTCCTTGTAGCACCAAACTACACCTCCACTTAGATTAACCATACTACGGTAGACACATCAAAGACGTTCTCTACGAACCAACAGACACCAGGGTAATTTTCTTTGCTATAAAAAAATCAATTGTTGATCATCTCTTCAACTCAATTTCATCAATGCCTTGGTTACTAGAAGCGGGTCTACCTGCTGCCAAGATTATATTTTGACAGCGAGCCATTTAAATTGGCAAATTTACGATTGCACATGACCTAGAAAAAACCATTCATTCGGGTATCACCTTATGCATCCTTATGTAATTGATTTACGATCACTTCCTATACTATTCTTTCGAGTTTCTAAAAATTTTAATCGGCATTGGGTTCAGAGACAATTTCTAGGTTGAATTAGCAATTCAATGAGCGAATTTCCCTGTTTGCGAATTGACTTCGATGATTCTGAATTGACATGACTGATGTTATTCAATGAATGTCCCAATAATTGAAGGCGATTGAAGGTATTATTTTTGTGTTAAACGTCGAATTATTTGTTCTCTATTCGGGAGATATTTTACTTATCGAATCCTTTTAAAAGGCGATAACGTGTTCCAGTATTTCACGCGACCAAGTCTTAGCTATACGGCCTTTTTATAAAACTACTGTTAGAATAATATATTAGATGGTCGTGGAACGAGACCAAGCGAAGTTGAAGATAGAAACGAAATCTAAATGTGGAATTCCTTATATGAATTGGTTCTGAGAGGCTGTCTAGAGTACACAACGGTACCCAGTGATTATTCTTGTTTGATGGGTGAAGCTCAGCAAATATAATAGATATGGGCACATAACCTACTAGAATCAAGACAAAGTGGAACAAGTTAGAATTTCTGTCCATTAAATGCATCCATGTTTCATTCAAGAGAACTGACAATTTTCAACATATTTCTATTACCAGTTGAAAATCAGTAATAATTGTCTTTAAAATTATTGTATGCACTCAGCTATACAATGTATATATAATGGCGAAGGGAAATGTTCCAATGCAGTATTACCTAGGTGGTTCTAAATAATATACTATTTAGAAAATAGTTACTTGAAGGCATCGAATTGAAGACCATGAACGCATTTATGCATGAGATACATTCATAACTCCATTTTCAAGATCGAAGTAAGTAGAATCTTGTCCTAATTATGGGCCTGCAACTACCTTTGGAATAATTATGTCGTTTCGAGACTGACAAACAGAAATATTATATTACGAGAGAATATCTTGTAGAAAATCGTATATTATGATTGTTTGAAGCATCGAGATTTTCGATTTGAATGAAATTCATTTGAATTGGAATTATCTTATGTCGAAAGCAATTGAACGTTAGATATAAGTATCGTGTTCAATAAACTAATAAGTTATGAAGGCCTTGGTGAAACTGCTCTAACCAACGCCTATTTTATCAACAATGAGAATGACACTCGGAATTACAATTACAATAGCTGAGCCGAAAAGGGATAGATATATTGCCAATAATATTAGCATACAATGACAATCTGAGAAACGCGAATGAGTCAGAAACAAAATCAAGAGGAAAACTATAGTGTAGGTGGAGTCAAATTGTTTTGAGTAGTGATTATCAGGAATAACAACATTTCGGAATATTTGACGCGAAAAAAATTATGTACTCACCTATGGAGAATTTATTGGTTTATAATTAGCATTACTGCAATGATTTGAATAACCTCTGCTGTAGGCACGTCAATCATGACCCATTCTATAATCACTCAATTTAAGCCTACTTCGATAAACATACATCGCGTGCGGGTCAATGTCGCTAAGTTCGGTTTAGTGTGCTACCAAAATTACAGACAATACATAGCCGCCTTATAGCCAAAAATATTTGGTACCAAACGAGTAATAGTTGGTGCCAGCCGAGTAATATTTGGTACTAACGAATCAGGTGGATATTTCCAAGACAAGATTAATTTAAGATACCTAGTTTGTTGAAATGTTGTATGATGGTTTTGAAATATTCACCAATGTTCACGCCATCTATATTTGAATGCGCGAACCTTACGGCTTCGCTTTGAATTCAATTGTTTCATATCAAGTACTAATATGGAGAGTGGGCCCACCAGTATAAATGAATGATAATGAATTACAAAGTATCCATGAGCAGGAAAACTACTTGTTTATAATAAAATTTAATAGTAAGTGAAAACTAAAAGTGTATCCATTTCTTTTCTAGTATGCAAGAAATAATAACTCAATTTATCGAAGAATCGAATTTTGTAAGTTCTTTCAACCGATTATCTCGAGATTATCTACACCGTGTCTCACTTTTAACGACACCCTCTGTATCTCAGCTATTAGTAGTGTGATTCGTACTAAATTTGTACCGGTATTAATAACCATCAATACATGATCTGTTTTTCAGAGACAAAAAATCTTTTGGACAGTGCCGTGCGTATTTATTTGAAGCAAAAATGGGTCAATCACATGAGAATTTTTTACAGAAAAACTAACTTCATATTATTGTTCCTCATGCTTCAGAACCTCCATATTCAAAAAATTACCTAAATCCAAATTAACACGATATAGGCTTATTTTTTTTTTCATTTTCTGCCTCAAAAAATAGCGAATTCCAAGCAACTTCAATAGCTCCGGTTAAAAAATTTATTGAAAGAAAGAACGTTCGCAAACTATTTAGATGTGAAGGTTTTTTTGAAACATTTCATAGAAATATCACATGAAAATTTGCATATAGGAGTTCGAAACCATGAGGAACAATATTATGAGGTCAGTTTTCCTGTTAAAAAATTCCTAATAAGATTCTGAAAAACTGATCATATTGGTGGTTCTTCATACTGGTCCAAATATGGTAAGAATCGCACGACTAATAACTGAGATATAGAGGGGGGTGGGGCCGTTTTAAATGAGACACGTATATTTTATGTTATAATATTATATACAGGATATTCCATTATTTCCATTATTAATTGCTGAGATCAACCATAAAAAATGCATAAAAGTATTCTGGAGATACATTGTTATTGTGATACTACACTGAGATTATATATACAATGGAGTATGTCTCCAGCGTCGATTCTGACTTATCTATAATGGTCAATCACGGGATGGATGAAAAAAAAACATAATAAATAAACGTACATAATGCCGTGGCGGCACAACCTATGTCATTCTAACATTTTGCCGATATCGGTTTGCCGCTGCCGACACATATCCGCTGCTGACAGCGATGGCCCGGCTATTTACCGCCTATTCATGTTTGCTGGGGAGTAATGTAATATTTTATAAATTAAGAATTTTCATATTTTTGTATTTCCAGAACTTCACCACACTCGATATTGCATTTTTATCTGTCGACTCGCTTTGGTATATGTGCACACCCATGAATGAGTTCCATAAGTTATGAGAAGGACAGCTGATAAATGCCCGTTTTCACATTGTTTGGTCAACAAAGATGGAAGCGGAATTCATTATGCCAATAATGAAATGTTTAAAATTATGGGAAACTGACGATACTTATATGTTTCAGGCGAGGTTTCAGGGTTATTTCCTGATCTATCTTTCAGGATTCGCATTGATAACAACATACAAACATGTTTTAAAATGAATTATGGATAAATAAATGATGAATGTATAAGTAAGAGACATTGTTTAAAGTTACAAAACGGGGAACGTGTATTGGACTAGGAATGGACTAGGAAGCCCATGACTAGCCGATTGAAAAATAAAAGTATAATACAATAATAAGTATGATCGAGAAAATCGGAGAAAATGTGTGCTCAATGAAATTGGAAAAAACATTAAATCTGAATTACAGAATGATTGTTATGGTACATCACGTATACCCTCTCGTATATCATCAAATTATTTTCATGAGAAAAACTAAATATTTTCAAAAATTTCGAAATGGAAATTAAACCTTCGGCATCACCAGCTGTACGTAAGCACAGTTATATATCTCGATATCTGCGTGAGAGCTAATATACAATATTTCAATATATTTGAAATCACAAGAATATACTAATCTTATTGTAGCAAATTATATAGGGTGCTATTTGAAATTTTACATAAGTTGCCCATAATTTTTTTTTTAGAAGTTCAGCTATTTTCTGTCAATATAATATATGAAATATACAGGTAAAATTATAGAGAACTGTTTCTTGAAAGAATAATTGAAATAAAAAAGGTAAAGGGGGGAGGGGTTCAAAATATAGGTACATGAAGACCCTGCACATCAGAGGATAAATAATTGGAACAGAGTTAAAGCATGTTCGGTGGTTAAAGTTTCGCAGTAGACGAGTAATAATCGTGCATGGTATAGGAAATATAATTTTTCTCCAAGCGGCAGGGATAGTGGATTTTTTCTGCCGCTCAACAGGCAGAAAAGGTGTACTTTTACTGCTTAGGCATAAAAAGTCTGTTGCTATGCAACGTTCCAAGAAATGAAATTAGTAATCACAATTGACACTGACATTGGATGAGCACAAAATTATCTAGTTTTCAATAAAAAAATTACGCAAGATTGGTTTTATATCATTTGGAGGAGAAATTCTATGTTTCACACGGCAGCAAATGTATAGATTGACTGCCTAGGCTATCAGAACTTTTCTGCCTAGTAAAACAAATAACTATTTTGGTGTAATTTCTTTGCCTAGGCAGGAAAAGTGTGTTGCTATGCAACGTTCCAAGTAATTTGAAGGAAATTGGTAATCAAAATTGACACTGACATTGGGTGAACACAAAATTTCGTAGTTTTCAATAAAAAAAATACACAAAATTGCTTTTATAACATTCGGAAAAAAATATGTTTCTGACTGCCTCGGCTGAATTCCTGTCTACCAGCAGCGGCAGACAATCTACTACTGTGCTGCCTAGTAAAACAAATAACTATCGTTTTTTGTGTTGTTATCAATGGTTTTCCAGTTTGTGTGCTTGGTTTACGTTTCAGTAACTCATTTAGTATATAAATTAAAATCTGTCTATATTGTGACAAAAATATGCATGGTTTGGCAGTGTCAAATAATATTAAATCTGTAATAAACAGTTATTTTCAAGAAATGTGCTACTGTGACATTTCACAAGTATATTTTTTTACTCGAGTGGCGTTCTGGCTTGAGAGCTCTATTTTGTTGATGAAATTCGTGTTCGAAATATTGAAAATATCAGATAGCCTCACTTATATACGTTACACAAAGAATCATAATCATGTTACAATCCGAGAGAGCCAATTTATTATCGCACAATTCGCACATTCACACATTCATAGAAATCGTGATTCATTATATCTATTAAATATGTCTATTCAATAAATCAATTCTCTGGCAATGATACCGCAGAGACATGCCCATTACCCGTCTTTTCATTCGTTTATTCGGTGTTCTGCGTTTAGGATTGTTGGCATATTATACTTTTTCGTGCATATAAAAAGTATATTATTATAGTATATAAGAAGTATAAGAAAGGCAAGACTTTTCAACCACCTGTTCAATAATATATCATCAAATCCATGTAATAATCACTTCTAGTTCAATAATGATTCAAAAGCTCAAAACATGGAATAGATAAACTAAAAATCATGGAATGAACTGTTAAAACTGAAGGACTACCGAATTTAAACATCATTATTAACCGAGAGAATACCACAATACATATTATTCCAATAGCGAAGGATAAATGTGTATCGTTGTAATCGAGTTCAATGGATTACATGGCGCTGTAGGTAAAATGTTTAATTTACATTTCAAACGTGAGTTTGATATCGAAATTGAATGGATTGAGCTAGTCGTGCATAGTGAAAATAACCAAGGCATTGCGAAATTTGTCGGAGAATGACCTAGCGTCAGTTCAGCATTCACAAGACACATTATTTTGTCCTGCGATGAGTTCAAGACTGGATTTCTTCGCAATTTCTGAAGTAGCTATTAGGCAATGCAGATAATCGAAAATTAAAACACAAATTACTACGTCGTGACGCTATTTTCACAATTCTGAGTGAAGATATCACTAAGGAAATTAGCTTGTGAATGAATCACCCACTGATATGCAAAAACTCACTCGGGGGTCAACATGTTCAATTCACAGGTATAATTCTATAAAAAATTACATTGAGTTACAATATGTTCCATCCAATAAAAAAACTCCATAATAAATTAGGAACCTATATTTTACATTTATACATATTTTGACCTAGCTTCTGTTATCATCGGTCGCACAGTTGTCACGTCCATTGTTTGAAAAATATTTCCACTATGTTTTGAACAAAAGTTTTATAACAATGGAATTATCACTCCCGAAGCAATATTCAGTTATACTATACAGCAGCAACATACTTACCTATACAAGTGCAAATGCATAATTCGCTACCAAATTCCAAATCAGGCAATAAAATAGTGATTTATGTTCTTCAAAACCCAGATTGGATTCAGAAACTAGAATGGAGAACGATCGCCAACGGCGTAATATTTTATTCATCAACTCTCGGAATCCAATTGCAAAAAAAACGCCACTAAGACTGTCTGAAATTAGGAACAAAACACAAGATTGCATGCCATGATATCCGATACACAATAATTAACATAGATTCAAGATGTTTTCTCAGATAATTGGATACAAAAAGATCTGTATACGAATACGAAATAAAAGTCTATAACATTTTCAACTGAGACTTCTTCTCCAAACAAAAGGACTCCTACAATATTATCTGGAAGTTGATTTTGATGTATTCATCTACATTTTGCGAGCATTATGAAAATAATAACAATTCAGGGGTATATAGCTGAAATCAGCCCAAACACTTTTTTTTTTAAATGCAGTCCTATAATATGTCTTGTGACCCCTCATTGTTACGCTGCTTCAAGAGAAATCCAGCGTACTAATCAAAATTCGGTTTGCAGTACGCTTGGGGGTTGCATAAAATCAAAATACCTATGGGCTCGGGCTTAGGCATTTGTTGAAATACAGAGTACATAGTGTTGAGAAATGTTTTTACCCAATATTTTAAAAACACCTTTTTCGATTTCAATTTCAATTTAGGTATCGAGCATGAAAAAATCAATTTATTTTACTAAAATACCCACAGTGGCACCCTCTTTTACATACGATATTTTTGAAAGAAGAAAAATTCTACAGATCGTTTTTTCACAAAATAAAAATTATTTTCGTAATATTCCGTTATTTTTCAATAAAAATGACATTGTGTAGCAATTATGATACCAAGGTACATGAGAAACTTCAACGAGAATTGTTTTTTGTATATCGTGGTTTATATGTAGGTATATTAGTTTTTCCACTACTAATACCAAGGTAGTAAAGAATATCATTATCACCCAGGGACCAAGATTATATCCCGAGGCTTCAGCCGAGGGGTATTAGGTCCCATGGTAATGATATTCTGTACAACCACCTAGCGTATATTAAATTTTTTTCACAACTAGCAATTTTTTCAATCATTATAGTTCTGTGAAACTGAAATATGGACCTATGTCACTATGAAAGCACTTCTTTTCAATTCTAATTGAAATCTAGTCAACAAGTAGTTCTTGATAAATACCTACTAGTATCGAGTGCCATTCTAGTGGACCTCAGAATCAGAACAGTGAATTCGGTCTAATTATGACAGAGGTGGATATACCTTTAATGAATAGTGGTTCATAAAATGACGAAAACGAAAACCACTATGGTAGTAAAAACACTCCTTGACATTCTAATTTCAATTTGTTTTATAGCGGGGAAGCTCAGACTTTTCATGTTTTTTTTTTTTTAATTTCAATTCAATTCCTACCTACGAACAATGGAGGATATATCGAGAGTAATTTAAAAGTATTGGGTAAAAAATATTCACTCAAATTTTGTAATACCCTGTAACATAAATATATATTTTTGAACTTTTCAACTCAGAATCAACCAAGGATTATCATCTCTGGGTATCAGCATTCAATTAATGAATACCCAATATACTAACGAGTGATGAAGAAGCAACTAAATAATTATCGGATGTAACCTAATTTCTAGCCTAATTTTGATTGAATATTTTTTTTTCTAGTACCCTGAAGAATTTGAAACTGGAATCATTGCACAAATCCCTACCTAGCCTAGAGGTACCTAGGAACTAGACACCCCCACAGCTTGGCCATGTTCCCTCTTCAACTGTCTTTTTAATATCGATTCAGATATTAATTTGAAATGAAGAAACGAAACACAATTTTGGAGAAATAGAATTGATCGAATCAAAGGAAATCCATAGCAGAAAAATAATGGAATATTTTCGTTGTCATCAACATTTAGCTTTCCGATCATTTGGTTTGCCTCTCCGATATTAACGAAGAAATCCAGAATTGCCTCACCTACCACCCGCATTTACCTAGATGTAGTTAATCCAGAGACCAAACCGCATGAGTCACAATCCTCACAAAAATTCACCGCACCGAATTTTTACCGAACGAATCATGACATTACGACACATCGAATAGGCTGCGACATGTAAAAGCCAACGACTGATAGTGTGTGCGTAGAGATACTGCACTTTCATGTTCGAGATCGTCCACCTTACTCACACGCGAGGTAGGACAACGACAGGCAATTATTGTCCGCTGACCAAAATGGTGGGGTTTGGGGTTATACCACGCTCATCTTGTGATCGTGAAGGTACATCTCGCCCAGAGGGCAGGGCTCATTATGGAGGAGATCATGGGACCCAGCATATCTGCTGCTATAGTTCTTGTATTCCATTTTTTGTTCAGTGATTCAGTATTCCTGCTACAGTATATTATCCTTGTGTTCCTGCGGTGCGATGTCGGTACAATTTATAGAGAATCTGAATAATTGCTATATAGATAGAGGCTCTCCTAGTCCTATCCCATTGAGCAACAACAACTTCCGAAAGCCAATCCAGCTGTGGCAACCGAGTATCAATTTCTGAATAGGAGCGAGTTGGGAGTTGGGTCTGTGAGTGTCTGCCCTGTGTCTTACTTCTAATGGAAACACCCATGTATCTTACGTATTCGTTGGGTAAGAATCCTGGAATTTGCTGGAGCGAGAGATATACCAAAAATGCACTTCATGACCAAGTAAGAATCCTGAAATTTGACGACGAGTAGCAATGAAAAACACATACCTACGCATATTTTGTCACGAGTTTTTTTTTATTCGAAGTTAACTTGACATGTTGACGAGAATTTTGTTGCCTGCGAATTAAACGAAAACAATTCTAGCAGTTAATTAGTTAAATTTTCCATAAGGAGAACAAAACTCGAACTCGAAGACTTTAAATCGCGAGATTTTCACAGATTAGATTCTGACAACGTAAGATCGAGAAACATTGACATAAACGCCATCAAGATTTGCCCACAATCCTGGCCTGGAACGTTCAATCCGAGTTCACACTCGGTGCAAATCTAAAGGGAAATTCTGGCTGGAATAGTACATATCATACAATTCTACTGAATAAACTATAGGCAGGAACACAAAAAATGGGTTACCATCGAGGTTACCATAGTGTGACGACTGACGAACACTATACAAACAGCAAACAGAGTTAGACAAGTCCGATGGATCTAGATGAACAACTATACACAACAGCATATTCACAAGAGCTCTATATTAATTGGATTGAATGAAAATGAACGCAAACAATAGTTTTACAAAAAAGTTATTATAATAGAACTGAATGGAGCTTTGCCAAATAATAATCAACTACACATATTTTGATCGCACATTATGGTAGAGAAGTTTTGAATATAAACTTTGTATAATATATGACGATGTCCATCTATATTGCTGTATACAGTATGATTCAAAAAGTATCGAACATCTGAGGAACGGCTCACGGAAACTAAACGATATTTCAGTGATACACTCAGTATATCGCAGTATATTTATAGGAACTTATATACTAATAAATAATATAAATCCTGTATCTTATTTCACGTCTGTATAGGATTTTTTATCACGAATTCTACAATCCCAAGATCCAAATATGAAATGATATATTATCTTGCTTGGCCAACAACAGCACTGTCGAAATCATATTAGCTGTGGCTTCTGAGTGTATCAACCATCGTTACTTCCCGCGAGTCGTTACTGAGACATTTGGAAGTTTCCAAACTTTTGGGTAATACTGTAGGTATATAATATTATGCGAGAGCAGTATATGTTAAGTTTATTCTAGTATTGCAAATCGTATATTACATGATCATCGCAAAATAAATTGCCGAGTCTGATGAAAACAGAATTAGTAAATCAACAAGATGAAAGTCGAGTTTGACAGAAGTGTTACATCAGAGAAGATCCGAGGTTTTTCAAATCCACGTGACTATAATCTGCTCGAATCTGCGATCTTAATTCCGAACGCGAATAGTTCAGGTATTATACTCATATCAATTAAGTCAAGAGTCTGATAGAGAAATTGTACGATGAGATGACTTCCAAGTACCTATTGAATAAAATTGACTAAGGCATATGAAATAGTTCAATTTTCGATGAATCATCTCACTTTCAATAGTATATTACACACCGAGGTGGGAAGAGATTCATTCCTGTCGTGAGATTAGTTAGTTAACCGAAACGCAAAGCGTCGAGGTTAGCTATGATCTCGAGACAGGAATGAAACTTCCTACCGAGGTTTGTATACTATTTTTTTTACAACCATCATATTTCGATCAAGATTAATAAACCTCTGATTCGTTCTGAACATACCTAAAATATTACATAATTGAGGGAGGGAAGTGAGGGCGAGAAGTCAGGGGGGAAAGTCAGGGCGGAAAGTCAGGGCGGAAAGTCAGGGCAAGAAGTAGAGGTGTGTAAAGTGACACTTCCCAACCTTCAATGACGTTAGTAATAACAACATTACATATATGGTTGTGAATAAAGAACCATACAGTTCACCCATGAAGAAAATTCGTCAATTGATGGGAAAAAAGATTGAGCTGTGATTGAGCAGACAGTTTTTAGTAAAAGAACCAATTGTCACTTTTTTTGTCTTTTCATGGAATGTGCAATTCATCGACCTGGGCTAATACAGTATTGAATGTCAGTATAAAAAAGAAATAACTTCGAGTTGATCGATTCATATCAATGATCTTAGGTGGCCCACATTCATCGGTGTGAAACATGGCAGTAACGCGATATCATCCAGCAAAGAACGAGATCTCCTAGGCAGGCTGCAGAGACACGAGGTCGATAAAATGAGCTCAAATCGAATTAGTAGTGGAAATATTACGGATTCAATAATTCAGTCTACTGTAATAAAAAGGGAAACACTTCACTGAATGAATGAATGATCAAATAGTAGTCTAATTTTGGGGCATTCATTTCACTCCTCTACCACCCTATAATCAAAATAATTTCGAATACCAATTTAGATCTACGAAAATTTTATTTCGATTTTTTCCTTCTGAAACATTCTTGTGGGCACGTTCTTAATTATAGTTGTTCAATTTTGTAGCATTCGTTTTATCCTTCTTTCCCCCCTATTTTCAAAAAGTTTGAAGCTCAGATAATCAAACTCTGAATCAAATTCTGAATTGTTTAGAATAGGAATAGATGTAAAATATTTTCACGAACACGATTAGATAAAAATATGATTTTGTAGAATCCGCTTCATCCATATTTCACCCTTTTATTCAAAAATCTGAATTTCAAATCTGAGCTAATAGAAAATGCAAATTTGATATATTTTTTTCTTAAATTGTATGTAGCAACATGTTTCTAAACTTACCTTCGGAATACGATGAGAAAGTTGTCTGGAAACAATGAACAGTTCATAATCTGAGGTCTAACATGGAATCAGGTGATTTTAAAATAATATTTAGGGTGAAAAAGAGGAGAAACTGATGCTACAAAATGAGTCATTTCATTTGATCGTGTTCATGTGTGGTTCATGGAAGTATTTCATATTGATTTCAGTAAAAAAGCATTTATAAATTCAATTCCTGAATCCAAACTTCGAATTCAGACTATTCAATGAGATTTATCACAACAGAATTAATCAATATATTCATAGAATTTCCCGAGGTATTTCCACTTCTAATTCGATTTGAGCTTGTTTTAACGACAGCGTGTCTCTGCGGCCTGCATTAAGAGATCTTCATTGCGTTGCTATTTTTATATCGGTCCCGTATTCCCGTAGTCGTTTATATTATTAACCAAATTTCCAGAAGCTTATTACTCGTCTTGAAGTCGGTACTTATCGAGGTACTGTGAACTAAATATCAGAATATCATTTATTTAAATATCTTCTCAAAAACCCAAACACAGCGCGTGTGGTATCAAGATTCTTAATGAATTGTTTAACACTTTCTCCATTCAACTGATTATCTATATTTTATAATATAGTTCCAATGATCGCGTTTACGTCACTGATTGCAGATAGACAGTTTACACCTTCAGAAAAATTATGTATGAAGGTAAACATTAATATATATGGTTCGAGGAAATATACTCGACAGTAGGGAATTCCACAGATTCTCCGAACTTCAACAAAAGCTTGCTAATAGAAAATAAAACAAAATGTTGAATCAAATACTCCAAACGAATCAATTCGAATCACAATGCAATGAGGTCATTTTTTATTGTTTTTTTTGGGCTCGATTTTTTCAACGAATTCATCGATAATATTTTATTAGAATATAATCGTTTATCATTAGCACTTTCCCAAGAATATTCATTGTGAACAGATTGCGACACTAGTTCTGCGACATTGGACCACTGAATCTGAATTTCGCAACGACATAAAAACCAAACGAAAAATTGTGCCAGTGCACACAGCAAAGGTTATTCATTTATCCCCAACACTAGAATTCTCAAATATTTATGGAATGTTTAAAAATCAATTAAGTAATTAACTATCTCATTTTCATCGAAACAGCCAATTTATAAAGTTCATGAACAAGTAGACTCGTACCTGTTAAACTATTATTTTTCTTCTACTTCAAAAAAGTATTCACGTATTCTAATCCTAGAAGATCCATTGTGATTACTCTTATCAAATTGATTGTCTTCAAATCCTATAGACTTCTGATCAACTTCCGATGAAGGCTAGGGTTTTGTTAAAAGTCTCCTTTTCGCTGGTTTTTTTACATGAGCAAAGTATGTGCTTTGGTCGAGTTATTACAAAAGCGACAAGTGTCAGTATTCGCTTGGATCTGACATAGTATCATCATTCATCAGTGTCCTGTGAGAAAGCCTGTTATGAGCTTCAACTCCCTGGCCTTCTTGTTTGCCGAGGCTGAGTCACTCCTTGACTGTTTTGCGAAAGGCTGATGAATGTTCTTCCACCACCAGCCCTAGAATCTACTATTACTTACTGCTATTTGAATCGTAGACTAATATTTCACTACCAAGATAGTTTCTTTATTTCATCAACTAGTCATAGGGAAATAGCCACTCATTATCAATCTGAATTCACATTTCAATGCGATATGAGAATGGGAATTTAACTTCCCAAACATTAACCAAAATGTAGACGCAGGGAAAGAACATAATACAGTAACTGAAAGGAGAACTCATCAGAAATCTAATACCTTTCGAACTTATTTCTCACTTAATCAAATACC